ATTTTTGGGTAGGCCTTCTCTCTCTCTCTCTCTCTCTCTCTCTCTCTATATATATATATATATATATATATATATACATGTTAATATAATCAAGAGTATCAACAAGCCTACAAGGTGTTTTGAATAAACTCATAAAAAAAAAACCAAAACCAGACAAAAAGTGAGAGAGAAGAGATAGAGAGGGACAGAGAGACAGAACAGCTTAAGAGAGCAGAGAAAGAGAGAATGAACCAGGAATGAAAATAGTCAAAGCAAAAAGCAAAAGACAAGATTTAAAACCCGGATCAATGAATACTGCATGATGGGTAGCAGGAAGTTCTGCCTACCACTGTACAGCACAGTAACTATAAGTAACAATAATGTGTGCACATATAAAAAGTTAGAAGAAAGAATTTTTAAATATCCCAATTAATATTTGAGGAGATTTAACTGTATTTAACATTATACAATGTATCAAGCATCAAATGGAACAAATATTTGCATTCAGATCCCACTAAGGAGAGACACTGGTAAAAGCCTAGATTCAGTTAAGACTTCTGAAAGGTTACAAGATAAAATAAGGATAAAGAGGAAAGGATAACCCTTTTCCAACAGTCAAGTCAACCACACACACCTATATAAGCATCTGATAGGCTCAAGGTAAGTAATCTCTACACTGAAAATCCGCTAAGACAAAACAAATTCTTTCTTGCAAAGAATACTATCATGCATTCTGAGGCCCAAATTGTATCACAGTTCATGCTAGATGTCTAACATGCAATCTAAAGCTAGTAGGAATGCCAGGAGAATGATGCATGAGCCAACTAAAGATGTGTATATTAAAGTTATCAGACACGGAATTTAAAGTAACTCTGATAAATAGTTAAAAATTCGTAAGACAGAGACGACATAGAGTAAATCTAGCTGTAAAATAGCGCAAAGAAATTCTTTACCTCAAAATCATAATAATAACAATTAGATTATTATACACTAGACAAAGCTGGAAGTCACTGGTGACAGGCAATACAAGTGAGAACAAAATATTCAGACAACATGGAAAGCAAATCTGGGACAAAAAGTACAGAAGGGAATGTAAGAAACCCAGTAAGCATTGAGTCATACATCTAAGAACTGCTGCAAACATTAGTTAGGGAAATACATCAAAAAACTATACGTAGACAAACCAAGGTGTATGATTGGAAATCAGAATTAACAAGAAAATGAAAGACACAATCTTGTCAGATTAAAACCAAAGCAAATAGTTGATTTTAGCTTTTTAGCTTTCTATTATATCTAAATCTGTACTTTGTATCCATCTTCTTTTGTTTTATTAGTGTATATATGCAATACATAATAATTACATTTACCTCAAGAAACTTATTTTACTTGTATTTTAATTATACTGCTTTATGTATTTTAATTAAGTACTTTAATACTTTTAATTAAGTATTTTAATTAACATACTCAGTGTTGATTTATAATTATGAACTTCATGCACGCATGTTTGTAAACACACATATGTAATATCACATAAAGTAAAACTGAAAGAATTCATCTCTGCAAAATTTCAATATAAAATATATAAAGGAGATACTTCTAGTTGAAAGAAAATAATCTCAGTGTAAGAATAGAGATGAAGAAATGAATGAAGATCAGAGGAAAGGGAAAAAATGTATAAAAATAAACAGATACTGACTGAACAAATATACTTTGTAAATATACCACATAGAGAATAAGTATATATCACATCAAAAATCAAATATCAGAACACTGTAAACAAGTTAAAGTGTTATATTTTCATTTTCAGCAGATCATACTCATACTAATTTATATCATAGTTTAATTAATCAAAATTGTGCATTGATCCTGTAGTTAGCAACTAAGAGAATAACTAATTAACAAGTGAATGTAAGGCAAAAGGAATAACAAAAGTACATTAGTTCAGAAGAAGCCAGAAAAGAAACGAAAAGGGGGAATAAAAACAATGAAAACTAAACAAACAGAAAACAGACAGTGAGATGGTAGTTTGGTTTTTTCCTTAAGACTGATTTCCACTCATCCTAGGAATTTGATGTGTATTAATTGCTACATGATTGCAAATTAAAATTGAATAGTTGCATTCCTATTTCATTAAACTGTAATATATTTAGATTATGTTCTGAAGACTCTATAGTACTAGATAATTTTATTTGGAAAATAAATTTTACTGAGAGCAAAAATAACATGAAGGAGCCAGCTCTAATGTAAAATAACTCAAAATCAGACTTCACATAAAACTGTATTTGTAGAAATCTTTAGAAATTTTATTTTTTAAGCAAAGTATTAAAATATGAAGAAACTTAACTTCTGAAAATCAAAGACTTTCTTAATCAGGAATCTTGTTTAATCAAAACTAATTAAACTAGTTTTATCATACCCGTTTGAGCAGAGACAAATACAGAAAATAAGCACGGCCCTAAGAAATACTTTAACCACAGAATAAACAATTTTAATGTATTTGTCTAGCAGGCTAAGCATGGTAGTGCCTGCCTGTAGACACAATAAATAATCTTGGAAGATGAGGCAGGAGGAGAATTTCAAGTTCAAGCCCAACCTAGACAAGTTAGCAAAACATAGTCTTAAAAAAATTACAGAGATCTGGGGGATATAGCTCAGTATGAAGTTCACTGGTTCAATTCAGAGATAGAGACAGACAGAATATTAGCAAACATGCAGTGACCCAAATACTACTGTCTCAAAGACATTATTCTCTGTACCAACCATTTCTGTAATAGGTACTAAATCATTATATTTCAAATGTATACACACACAGACACACATACAATATTTGATTTCACCTCAATAATTTATCAAGGACATAATTAGTATCTTGAATGTATGAACCAAAATATTAAGGTCTAGCAAGCTACTGCAAACATAAAACTGCAGAATAAACTTGTCCTGCAAAAAAGATCATGATTCTTAACTTTTGTTGCACAGCTTAGTATTCTTTGAAAGTATAACACTTTCTATATATTCGAATTACTCCACACATATGACTGCCTCTATCGCCTTAGCAAGGAGCCTGGGTTAAGTTTTTTGCTATCTTTTCACAGCTCCAGAACCCATTTCCTTCTGTCTCTCCATCGAAACCCAACAGGGTCCATACCATCATTCTCATTGATTTTGCACTGGTGTAACAAATACCTATCAAAGTTGGGATTTTCAAACATTAGACTCTGAACAAATGCTAAAAGTTTTCAAAGTATGTGATGTGTATGTCCTAGAAAGGAATATGATCGCACATATGTTTGCTTAGCAAGTACACACCACCCCTACCATCTATACAGGCATTTTTTTTTTTAGGTATTAGGAGCCCAGTGATGGGTTGCTTCCTTGTTCTTATTGTGCTCAATGTCCTGCATGGAATTAAACATCAAATAATCACAAAATACATACATAATCCATAGGAAATAAAACAAATAAGACACTGTGATAAAAGTATGACAAAGGCTTCTAGCCCAATTAAGGCTCCAGAGAACCCATTATGTTTTTTTTTTTTTTTTTCTATTCATAAAAGCAATGAGTGTTCACAGATGGCTATGAAAGAAGGGGAGAGCATGATTCTGTTTGAAATACAGGGACGTATGGGAAGATGGTAGAGTGGTAAGCAGCAGAGAAAGAGTTTATCTGAGATGTGCTGTCCAGACTCTGGACTATTACAACATGAGGAAAAGAAGAAGGAGGGAACGGGGTCTCCTGGACTCAGGAAGAATCTGAAGTGAGAGTTACAATCCTTGGGGAGAGTGAGGAGAGAAACTTCACCAAAGAAGGAGATAGCTAGCTGCACCTTCTCCCTCAGTCAGGACTCTGTGGGAGGAGTGGTTCAAACCTGTGGATACACAGTGACTTCTGGCAACCCCAGAGGCCTCTTCAGAGAGATGCAGCAGTGCAATGGGAAAGTGCATGTTATGAGCTGCACTGGCTGGTGAATGTACCGGATTTTGCTTCCACTGGGAGATTGTGATTCACTGGGAGCCATCCTGGAGGGAACTGACAGATCTTTGGAACTCAGAACAACTGATGGCTGCATCCAGTGGCTCCCAGCTGAGTTCCAGCCAGCAGAAGGTATGCTGACTGCTACAATCTGTACAGCTCTGGTTCCAACCTCACAACCACAAACCCAACTGAACTTCAAGTAGCACCCACTACCCCACCATAAAGCTACTGCTTGTTTGCTGGGATAAATCAACACAGACCTGGACTCTGTTTCCACACATTGTCTACCAGTGAGAGAAGACACATCTTGCAATGAACATTTTGCTTTCCTCTCTCTCTTTTTCATTTGTTTGTTTTGTTTTCTTAGGACTGCTGTTGTCATTTTGTTTTTCTCTTCATTGTTCGATCTTGTTTTGATGATTGTGAACACTGCTTCTAGCTTTTCTGTGGTTATTTTGTTCTTCCTTTTTTCCCTCTTTTTCTTTCCTGTCTTCTGCACCAGTTTCCTAAATTTATATCATCCAACTTTATCCTTTAGCCTTGCTTCTCACCTCTTCCTCTTATTTCTCTATTTTTTTTTTTTTTTTTGCATAACTCTTTAAATTTTTCCCCAGTGGCAAAATTGATATACTGAGGGCTTATCTTCTGCATACAATTTTCTGGTTTGTTTAAGATTTTGTTATATATCCACATATCTAGTTCATACAGTTAAAGGTGGCAAATTAAAGATTACCTCAGTTTGTTATTTTCTAGGCTGTATTTGATGTTATTGTTGATTGCAGTACTTCAGCCAAAGTGACATAATTGTTCTAACAGACCTGTCTCCCTGGTATACCAAGACTGAGATACCTAAGGCTCATAGAAAATACTGTGGACCAGTACTAAAGAAGTAAGAGCTAGTCAAACAGGCAGCAATTTTGCAACCCCCAAGAGGTAGAATTTTGCAACAGACTTAAAACCCAAACATCAGCTATTCCTGGAAGACACTCGTAAGAAATAGTCATTTCCTAAGGGTTCTAAATACTAGCAATACAGCTACTTACCACAGGCAATTTATAAGCATCAACCCAGGAATTAAACTAAAAAGAAAAAAAAAAATAGAAAATGAGAATACAAACAGGCAACCCTGGACATCCAGTTCACCAAAGGTAAAATCCAGGAGGCATTGAGGTATAAAAGTCAGAAATCCACCCACCTGGCTTCCTTGAAATAGTAACATCAAAAGCAAATGCACAAGGTTCTAGGAAAACTCAAATCAGAAATAATTTCACAGATAACTACAGAGATCATGCCCACAGTGAAAAACATGTTTAGTGGTCCTACTGCAGATATAGATTAAAAAAAAAAAAAATAGAGGAGCTTAGGAAAATGATGGAAACCAGGAAAACCCAACATAGGGCAGAAACAAAATCCATAAAACAGATTGAAGCAGATATCAGGACATTAAAAATCCCACTGAAACTATTTGCAGGAGAATAAATCAATGTGAGAACAAAATCTCAGACAAAGAAGACAGGTTTGTGGTTAGTGATCATGAAAAGGAAGATTTCTTAAAAATAGCAAGGAACTAAGAGAAATCACTACAACAGGTGCTAGATTATGCAAAGAAGAATAACATAAGACTGACTGGAGTCAATGCAAACCACAAATAACATTAAAAAAAAAACCTGTCCACAGATGTCAAGGCAGAAAGCTTCCCTGGCAAGAAAAAAGAATTTGACATACAGATAACTGAGGCATGTAGAACTCCAATTACCTATGATTAAACAAAAAACTACAGCAAGGTATATAATAGTCAAGATCCAGAAATTCAACACAAAACAGAATAATAAAAGCTGTCAGACAAAAGAAATAAATCATCTATAAAGGAAAGCCCATCAAAATCACGGCTGACTTCTCAACACAAACCCTCAAGTCAAGGAGAGCTCAGAGTGAAATATTCTAAACCCTAGAAGAAAACAAACTCCAACCCAGATTGATGTACCCACAAAACTGTCTTTCAAAATAGATGGAGAAATAATATACTTCCACAACAAAGAATAACTGAGGAAAATCATGAACACCAAACCGACACTCCAAAATGTTATGAAGAATATTCTAGAAAGAGACAATGAGGTCAGCACCATAAATCACAAAAGAATGAATATAACAGGCAAGAAAAACAATTAAATAGGGGAAGGTGGACACCAGTAACAGGAAAATAACATGACAAGGATCAACCAATGCACATCAGTTTGAACTATCCATGTTAATGATCTCAATTCACCCAGCAAAAGAAACAGTCTGACAGAATGGATTAAGAGGCAAGATCCAACAATATGCTGCCTACAAAAAAACATATGTAATTAAAAAGAAATTCACAGACTGAAAGTCAAAAGATGAAAAACAATACTCTGTGACAGGGAGCCAGAAAAAAGCAGAGGTAGCTATTCTATTTGAAGACAAGGTGGTTTTCAAGCTAAGACTGATTGAGAGACAAAGATTACTGCATCCTTTCAAAGGGAAGGATCCAGGAGACAGACATAACAATCATAAAGATATATGCGACAAAAACCAGAGCACCCAATTGTATAAAACAAATATCAATGGCTATGAAAAATCAAATAAATACTATTACAATTGTATCTCAATACCCCACTGTCACAAATAGATCTACTAGACAAAAATTCAACAAAGAAACATTAGAACTGAACCAAACTTTTGAAAAAAAAAAATGGATTTCACTGATCTCTACAAAGGGTTCTACCCACAATATCAGAGCATGCATTCTTCTCAGCTGCACACAGGCCATTCTTCAAAATACATCACATATTAACTCATAGAACATGCTTAAGCAAATGCAAAGGTATTCAAACTATCCCATGCATATTCTAGAACATTTGTGAACTATTTGCATAGACACTGTAGCACTCCAGGTATCCCTAGGAGGTAATGCGATTTTAAAACTGGCAGTAGCAGGAAAGTTGAACGAGTCTGGGAAAATTTCAAGTAGTAGAATGAAGGACACTGTGGCACTTTGAGTGTGAAAAAAAAACAAAGTAAAAGGAGCTTTGGGCTTCCATTCTCTGTCATGAGAAATTCTGGAGAAAGCCTAGGATGAAAAGGAGGTCAATATGGATGCAATTTTGGAAACTTTTAGTTTGAGTATCACTTGAGTATAAGCCTGCTATACTCAAGTGAAGGGCCGAGTGATTAGCTGAGCACTAGAACTTCTGCTGAGAAAGGGAGGTGTTACAGAACTCTGGAGACTTATTCACAAAGCCTAAGTAACACTGTTTGGATAGAAGGCAGACCCGAGGGACCAGACAGACAGACAAAGGTCACCAGGCCGACCACGGGGAGATAGGAGCCAGAGACAAGGCACAGAGCATCAAAGGTACATTAGGACACACGCCTTGGATGACCAGCCCCAGAACCAAATGTCAGGTGTCAGTGCTGCTGTGAGTTCAAGGATGAGACATAAAAAAATTACAATTCAACAGAATGGCGAAGAACACACAGAAATGAAAATCAATTTTAAAAGGAAAAAAGAGTTGGACAAAAGAAAGGAGCTTTAAACTGTATCTGAAGGCTGAATAGGACTTTTCAAGGCTGAACACCTGAGGGAGAAAAAGGCAATATTTCTCTAGGACAAAACAAAACAAAGAACAAAAACTCTGCACTGGCTGATGGGGTCCCCAGTTTCATCCCTCTCCTTCCCGGATCAGGTAATCGGAAGTGGCTTTCATTCAGTTTGCACTCATAATTCAGCACAAGAACAGCTAAGCGCTCCTCCCAGCGCCCCTCCCTTTTGACATATTTTAACCTTCACATAGCAAGTATCATCATTATTTAAAAATCAGTGAAATTTTAAATTTTATGTTTTTTAAGGGACACTTACATTTTTTTTTTTTACATATTTTTCTTCATTTATCTACCCTTCTGGTTGAGAGTGCGTTAAATATATAAGGGCACTGAGTTTGCCATTGTTCATACCCGGGATTTCAAGAACAATGCAGAAATAAAATTTAGCCTGAAACAACGCCTATGCACAACTCCAGTTTTCTGGCCTGCGGACGCACAGGTACGCGCGGCACAAGGCAGCATCTCGCGGATGAACCAGCCGCGGGGGCCGCCTGCTGACCCTGCACCTGGGCAGCACCGCCCTTCCCGCGGGCCGCGAGGGCAGAGGCGGGAGGCTTCCCCGGAGGGAGCGCGGCGGGCGCACCCGGGCTGCGGGGCGCGCGTCCGGGGAGGGCGGGCGGTACCTGCGCGGAGGGAGCCGGGCCCGCGGGGCCGAGGCGCGGGTGCAGCAGCTGCTGGAGGCCGAGGCAGTGCGCGAGGGCGGACGGCGCGGGCCCCATGGCGAGGCCTGGGCGGCACCGGGCGGCCGGGAGCGCGCGCCTCGGGGACGGGGACGGGGATGGCGCCGGCAACAGCGCGGGACAGCGGCGGCCCCGCGCCGTGACCGGGTCCGCGCCCGCCCGGCGCCCCGCGCCGTCCTCTTACGTGCGCCGCGGAGCGCGTCAGAGCGCCCCCGACTGCGCACCGCCTCTAGGAAACTGAGGCAGGGCGCGCGCTGGCGCAGCGCGGAGTCCCGCGGGGCGGGGGCGGGGACGGAGGCAGAGAGCTGGGGGACCCGGGGAGACCCAGGGGGACCCGGGGGGACCCGGGCGTTGCACCAGGCGACAGGTGTGGAGGCGGGAGCGGAGCCGCGCACACGGAAGTGGGGACAAGTGCTGGGATGCTGGCACGGGGGTGGGGGTACCGGGGGAGGAGCCGGGACCCTGACACCCCAGCGCCCCTGCCCAGGGCAGCGGCTCGAGGACGGGGTGAGGACTGGGTGGGGCCGGTCTGTCCAGCCCAACACAAACCCAGAGTCGGTGAGCAGCAACACAACCACATCAAGATACCCAAAGACTGCCTCGCAAAACACATCAGCAGCACATGTAGAGGGAATTTGCTGCATACATGTAGTCCTCCTCACCATTTGTGCTAAGATTTCCACTAAAACTAGTAATAAAAGGTTAAGAGGAGGAAAAGTCAAAGAATGGAAGAAGAATCCCAAGAACTGTTAAGTGAAGCAGTATCAGAATGAGAAGAGGAACACAGTGAGCTTATACTCATCTTGACCGCTGAAACATGAAGCTGTGCCATTATGGGACACCTTTAAAACCCTCTAAAGACACCGACTCGCAGGCCGCATCCCTAGAGTTGCCTGTGTGTGTTGCCTGCAGAGCTCACCAGATGCACCGTTTTGCACCGTGCCCCCAGGTCGCATTACAGCCTGCCACCAGGTTTCTAGCTCTATTTTAAATTTCTAACAGGGAACATGATATCTGAAAAAAATTACAGAGACTCCCTTTGAACAGCACTAATTTAGCAAAAACTTTAATAACAATCAGTTATTCAAAGCTGCAACAAGTTTTGACAGCATTAAAACGAAGTCTAAAATTGAAGAATATGAGCTGAGCCACTCCTAGGAAGATAACTTCTAGTAATCAGTTTTACTGCTTAATAATGCCAGTCTTAGGAGTTCCCTTCTCCAATTAGTTGATAATAAAGATACACTTTTTTTACAGGAAGATCATGTAAATACACAAACGTGTGCGACACTTATTTGAATGCATTTCACATGAAAAATGTTTTATCTCCCAAATTTAAACTAAACTTTCTATAAATAGGAAAGCCATCAAAAAGGCCAAATATCTTAAAAATGTTTAATACGATGAATACAAGAAAGTGACAGGTGTGCTTTCTCTAGTAATTAAAGTGAATGTTAAATTATGAATCCTTACAATTACGAAATTTTAATAGCACGTGCTGTTGTACTTAATATTAGTGTAACACTTTATTAGAAAGGAGTTGAGGGAACAAATGGCATGGAGTGGAAAAGGTACTTTGCAGTTTTATTTTAATAATGAGTCTTGGAAAGATGGACCCTTGACCCTTTTAAAACTAGAAGGCTGTCAAATCAGGATAAAGCTAACTTTTGTGACATGTATAGTCTAGATCTGTCTCCTTATAGGTCAGGCTAAGAACTTGGGCTTCATCAGAACAGTAAAGAAATCACTTGTTAGGCTGGCCTTGCTCATTGCCTGCAGCAATGAGCAGCAGTCACTCAGCAGCTCTCTATCCAGAGGTGTAAAGAAAATGCTGTTACTGTTATCTCTCTAGGACACTGTCCACCATGACAATTCCAGAATGTCAGAAGTTTAAATGATTCAGCAGTGGGCCTGGATCCTTACTTGTAAACATCCTCAGCCTTTTCAAGAGGAGGGCCTAGAGATAAAGTGAGTGCTACATTCATTCAAGGGACATAACCTACTTATAATACAAGGGACGCAAAGGGATTTGCTCTTCCCCCTCCTTTTTTCTCTTGTTGTTTTGCTGTCTTTTGCCAGTTTGAAGTATGCCCTGGTGCCATGCCTCCCTGCCTTGGAGCCAGCTGATTATGGACTGGAAACCTCCACAAACTGAAAGCTAAATAAACTTTTCCTTCCTTCATTTTGGGCATCAGGTATTTTGACTCAGCAATGAGAGAAAAAATAACCAAGACACAACCCTTCCTTTGAAACTGGGATGGAAGCTTCCATGAACCTACAACAGTGATATGTCTCAAGCCTTGAAACCAATGTCATGTAAATGATGCCATGATTGCTACTCTGGGTCCCTGGAGCCATGGCTTCAGAGAGCTGTAAGAGCTTGGGTGACTAAACTTGGGAATTTTCCTCTCAAGGTGCCTCTAAGTGAGCAGAGAAATGTGGGAATCTTTTCCCAAAGAAAAAGTGTTTTAAATGAGTTTACCATTTTATGCACTTGAACTCAGCTCATGATAGGCAGGTACTGACCAGTCCCTGGGAAGCTCTGACATTGTGTTTCCTATTGTCTCAGTGCAGAGTATTTTTTTTTTTTTTTTTAAGTCATTACTGTTTTCAGCCACTGCACTCTGCTTGGCCCTAACTTCACAAATATGATTAAGTTGTGAAATTTTCACAGCTTTCAAATCTGTTTTTTTCCTAACGGGTGGGGGGAATGGCACTGGAAATTGAATCCAGGACTGAGAAGCTTCTCACTGAGCTGTGTCCCCAGTGCTTTTTTATTATTGACAGGGGACCTCATTAAGTCACTAAATTGCTTAGGATGGGCTCAAACTTCCAATCTTCCTGCCTCATCCTCCCAGAGCACTGACATTACAGGTCAATTCTGTGCTTTACTCCTGATTCTTATTGTAAATCTAGCTAAAGCAGCCACAGCCTGAATTTTTTTCGACCTGATTAATTAGTCTGCCATCCTGAAATTCTGCATATAGTTTAAGATGTGGGACAAAATATATGCAAATTCTTTGCCAAATTTAACATAAATGGTCCTTATCAAAGTTTAATGAAGCCCTCCTTCTATTCTGAAACCTGACAAACTTGGCCTTTACTATCTGTATTCCTATCAGCATTCTGGTCTTAGGAGTCTCTACCAGAATTGCCCATCAAGTTCATTTCATGGCATTGTGAGGCTTCTCGGGCATATATCTTTATACTCCTCAAAACTCATTCTAGAAACCAATTCCAAGAATTTTTTAACCATGTGGTCCTACAGTGTGGGTCTTGAGGTTCCCAGAGAAAAGCATTGTAAAAGGATGAGAAAATAAAGAAGACAGGGAAGCTGGGATCAGGCGGAGCCCTCTCTTTGGATGGGAGGGAAGGAACAGCCCTCTCACTGCAGGGGTGTTTATACATTTAGCAACTTAATGTCACATGACACCCCATTGGTTGATAATCTGCATGTATGGCAACCTCAGAGCTTGATGTTTTGGGGGCCTGTAGTCACTTGTTTCTGTGGCTCTCCCTGAGTGGTCTTTGTTCTCAGACCTGACTGGCTGGCCCCTGCAGATGTGGTCAAACTCCAATTTCAATGGCTCCCAGCATATAACAACAACCTCACTCTTGTTACTAATTTTCCCTATGAGTGATTTTTCACATTATTGAGACAAAGTACCCACAGCTTTAGCACGCAATTTGAAAGGGTTCAGTTTATACATGGCCAGCTGATTCCAAGGCGAAAACTGCATTGTGCAAGTGCATGGTAGAAGAAAGTTGCTCACTTCATGGCTGCCAGTGAGCCCAGAACAGATGGTTGCAGCCCTTCCTGTGCGTGGTCTCAGTGATCCACTTTCTCTATGCAGGTCTCACTGCCTGATGGCACATTCATCTATGGACTCACCATTAAATAGTCCACTGATGCATGTAGCTTTCCCATGATGCATTTCCCTTCCAGCAGTTCCAATTCAAAACACAGGAGATTTTGAGGGGACTTTTTAAATCTAAAAAACTTTTTGAAAGTATTTAATCAACAGTTCTTAGGCTATACTCGGGCGATTTCCATAATTTTTGCAGAAAAGCTGTGTTTCTTAACACGGTACATTTACTTTTTGTGATAAGATACTTAGTTATCTTTCTAGCCTCAATTCTACCTATTTCCTGAACTGCCTTAAAAAAATTACATGTGACAGCTAAAGGGCTCAAGAATCCAGTGTTCCATCGTCTAATTCTTTTCCTTCTTATGAAAACTTTGGAAAACATAAAGAAATACATACCAATATCAATAAACCAATCCATTATTTTAGTTTTTGAAATATTTTAACATATATTTTCAGGAGAATTTCCTAAATATGCTTTTGATTCTGTTTTTTATTTGATTTAAATTTTTAAAATATCTCTTGTCTGGTGACTTAAATCTCCTAACACCAATTCTGAAGAGTACAGTATATCCTATATAACCAGGATCCTTTATTACAAAAAATAATGCAGAATGTTAGTCGGTTATTTTCTAAAAGGGAAAGAGGTAGCCAACATACGATCATATAAATATTTTTATAAATATCTAACTAATCTTTCAGAGTATCAAGGCAATGCAAATTCTTCACAGTAATTCTGTTTCTGTCAGTTTCTCTTTATATTAAAAAAAAAATCTTTGCTTCCAATATTCAGTATTTCCTTATATAGATGGTAACCTGCTTATCTCTGATGAAGGCTATCTCTTGATTTCCTATGAGAATCTTCTATGAGACACTTCTATAGAATGTTTTCATTTTTTCCTATCTAATGAGTTTGGCTTGGTAGCATGTATTTTACATATTTTTTTTCATGAATTTAAGCTCTCAATGAGATCCACATGCATTGTCCCCACTTTTCATATATAGAATGATCTTTTGAGATAGATAACTTGTTTTACAAATGCCTCTGCTTGCAAACAATCTCATTAGCAGACAGAAATGTTCAGCAAAACTTTGTTTCTGTTGGCAAACTGCATTGGGTGACAGAAATGACCACAGTTATCTTCCCCACACAGATAAAATGCATCCGTCTTCCCCCAAGTTGTAAAATAATAATAATAATAATAATAATAATAATAATAATAATGTTTGTAAACAGAGGTGCCACTGTAACTTACGCTATGTTTCAAAGGATTACTTTTCACACACAGCTGTGTGTGATGTAACTTCTTCTATGGTGCTTGAAACCTCAGCTCCTAGCTACCACATCCATCCTCTCTTTCAAACCTCTTTACATTAGTTGGCTTCTGGATATGTCCTTGGTATCAGAATGTGAGTGAGCATAACGAATCTCTCAGATCAGCTTAAGAATTCTGACTTAATCTTTTCTATGATTACTA